TCGTGACCTTTGACCTTTGACCTCAAAGAACCATTGAAGAGTCATGATTTCATGGTCAAATTTTTACGTATTGTTTATGACCACTTTTGAAGGTGTTTGCTAAAATTCAGCTTAATATGATTGTTTCCGTACTAAAACCTAATTTTCCCTAACCAATTGCGGTGGGGATTACTGCGACTTTCATCATCTACTAATAAACTGTCCATCTCTTTCTCTTCAAAGAAATAGATTAAAATCTGTGTTCTACACTCTGGGTATTGACTTTTCTCTCATCGACGCTCTTTCAATCAATAATTTAAGTAGAATTACGCATATGCTCAAATTTATACCTATACTGTAATCAGGCTTGTGAACTTAATAGGTAGTGTGAGCTTTATAATTTTATGTGTATAATTATCAATCATTGTATGTTCCAATAGGTGTGATATTATAATGTCCTAGTTAAAATTTYATTACTAAAAAAAGCCCAACCTTCGTATTATTTGGCTGGGCTACGGGTCATTGRCTGTGATAAATTTATGCCACGGACCACAATCCAAAGAAATGCGTGGCACTAAACTGGTTAATTTGAYTGTCGTAAACGAGTATTTTGGCTGTCAACAATAATACTTGATCTTTTCTACCTTGCCGACTTAAGTGTGGATATGTCGATACGGAACTAGGGGTTACTAAACAGTCTATTACGATGATGTAACCGTCGGTCATAGCGGAGGCAGTGGTAATAGACTGAATGTTACTGCTTTCGCACCTGATGAACCCCTATCTATAMTCTTAGTATGGCCATAAAATAGGAATAAACTGGTTATAGAAAATAAAAAACAAGACATAAAAAAATAAAAAGACCAAAAAAAAAAATAAAAATAAAGAAAGAAAATAACGGGTAAGTAGGTAACAGTGTGCTATACAGTATACATTAACATTAGATATTTATAGAGAGTTTTTTATAATAGATATTATGTTGAATTTCCGATTAAACGATTTAAAAATCATTATAAAGGACAAATGTATATGTAAAACGAACCCGAGKGAAGATGGTCTGTTAGCCTATTATATTAGTATATTACTAAAAAGGTATATTTTATGGTATTATTGTGATTAAATTTATTTATTTTACTGTTAGTTTACATTTTCACATTAGGTTAAATTAATTTATGTCTAAAAAATTGCATTTTAAAATGTCATTGTGTGTAAAAAATATAATAATATAACATATTCTACAAATTCCAAGTATCCACAAATGGCACAAATAATATTTTTAAATTTCAAAAAAATAACTGAAATT